GGATTTAAGGTTCTTGTTTTTTTTAAAAAAAGAAAAAGACAATTACTAGTTTAAAATACTTTACATTGGATTGGATTGTTTTTTATTGTATACAAATTATATATATATATGTATATATATATAGAGAGATTGATATTGTTAGAAAATGCTATATGTATATTTCTAATTTTGTTGTACTTATACCATTCATTTAACAATGTAATGCAATTTGCTGATTCTTGAATGTTATTATTACCAACTATTAGGATAAAAAGAAATGAAAGTTAGTAGTTAGACATTACAATTGAACTTGTAGTCATATTAAGTATGTTTTCAAGATTGAGCAGATATATTTTAGATAGACAGGTCATCTTTAAACCCTTCAGAGATCTACAGAGTATGGCATTTAAAATGTTTCAATAACTTAGAAAAATTTTCTTTTTGTTATGACTATGAGACATGTCGGCTCCTGGCAGTATCAATCTACTTCAGAGAAAATATGGTCATTGAAGAAACTGCATATAGAGTTAACTTTCATTGTGGCAAAAGTTAGCCACTGAACAACAAAGTATCCTCGAATCGACTGCTGACAAACAGGACAAAATGGACAGACAGGACACGAAACGAAGGACTACCGATTCTTGCCAAGATAAGTGTGGTTGTGGCTTTAACAGGCATCTTCTGAGACCAGGACAATATGGCACCATCCCTGAAGTGGACTTTGCAATCCGGAAAAGGTACAGTGCCCCTTTCTTTAAAGGCAGCTGAACTGGCAGTGGACCGATGACTTCTGATGTGCTGTGGAACAACAGCTGAAGCAGTTATTCTTAAAAGAGTAACTAAGCTGATGGATTCTAACCTCTCAATGGTAGACTGGCATTTAATAGAAGAGATAAAGCCACCCACAAGCCAAGAAGAATGGGATGCAGAGAAGAATAGGATGCCAAGATGAAGCCACCCACAAGCCAAGAAGAATGGACAGCTGAATTAAAAAAAAAAAAAACATGAACAATTTCCTGAATGTAAAACCCTGAATCATGACAAGACACTGGTGGAATTCAGGTGTTTCTGGTACATGGACTACTCTCACCAAATGTGGCCTTGTTGGAGGAAGGGTGTCACTGGGGGAGGGCTTTGAGGTTTCAGAAGCCCAAGCCAGGACCAATGGCTTGCTCTTCCTGCTGCCTACCAATACAGATGTAGGACTGTCAGCTAAACACCCCAACACCAGGTCCACCTGCATACTAACATGCTTCCTGCCATGATGATAATGGGCTAAACCTCTTAACTCTAAGCCAGCCCCAATTGAATATTTTTCTTTATAAGACTTGCTGTGGTCATGGTGACTCTTCACAGACATAAAAACCCTAAAACAAGCCTTGTTGGAGTAGGTGTGGCCTTGTTGGAGATGTGTCACTGGTGGTCAGTGATGAGACTTCAAAGGTGCACACCAGGCTGAGAAACCATAAACACAGAGAAGAGAAGCCCTGTGACTATAGATAAAAGAATGCAGAAGGGGTTGAGCAGCAGTCACAGGAGTCAAAGACACTCATGTAGAAAAGGATCCCCACACCAGAAGACTGTTCCCACAGAAGAGAAACAGGCCTTGGGTTCGTTGGGTCATAATAGTAGCCAGTTGTGTTCATGGCAGTTTATTTAAGTCCCTGTGATCTTCTGAACATGTGTAGGGAAGATTGACTGTCATTCTCCAGCTGCCTCCCTCTGAACACATGCAGTTACTATGGAAACCACCAAAGAAGGAAACTAACTTCTTTCAGATTCAGTTCCTGGAATTTTTTTTAACAAGCTTTCATATAACTCAAGCTGACCTCAAACTCACTAGTAACAAATGACTTTGAACTGATCATCCTGCCTCTGTCTCTCAAAGGCCGAGGTTACAGATGTGCCACCGCCATGACCCTGGTTTATGCCCTACTGGGGATGGAACGCCAGCATTTGTGAAAGTTAGGCAAGCACTCCACCGCCTGAGCTGCATCTCCAGCCCCCATTTACTAGGGTTTTTAAGGCTGTTTTCTTCCACTGAGCCCAAGGAGTGAGAACATGCTTTGGGCTGTTGTTTTCTAGCATTAGCTACAATCCTCTGTAGGCATGAGGAGGACAGTGGACCTGTCCTGAAGCCTTTGTAGAAGGAGATGGACAGCTTGTTTGGGATCAGTAGGTATATATCTTCATCTCCTCTGTGTGGATGGTTCTCTCTTCTCTCATGCTCTCTTTTCACACAGAAGGATCAAATGTAGGCTGATGCCTACTGTAAGTTGGATGAGGTCCAAGAAATTTTGGATAACATGTCTCTTATGCCATTCCCTGGCACGCCAAGTAGCTATGTTCCTCTCCTTCCCTCTCTCCCATCCCCATAGTCGATACAGAGTATTCTGATGACACATGACTTTGGTATGCGGTCATGAAACCACAAGCCAGCATTGCACACCTAGTGGGAAGGCTGGAATTAAGTTTAAGAGATGGGTGTGGTAGAGATAAAAACCTGAGGGTCCATTTCCATCTACAAAGGAACAGAAAACAACCAATTAGCAAATTAACTAATCTCATCAGATTGGGAATTCCAGAGCTCCTACCAATGGGATGAGACACAGTGTAAGAATGATAAGCAGCGCTGGTTACCAGTGCTGGTTACAGTGCAGAAAGGTCATGAGCCACGGTCACGACAAAACCCAATGTCAGAGCTTTATTAGGAGGTAGGGGCAGAAGAACCAGACCTGGGGGAGATGCAAGTGCAGAGAGAGAGAGAGAGAGAGAGAGAGAGAGAGAGAGAGAGAGAGAGAGAGAGAGAGAGAGAGAGAGATGGTGAGGGTGAGAGGGAACAGAACAGAGGGGGTGGGGTCTGTGTCCAGCTCTTTAAGGTGCAGTTGGGCTTATGGAGCTATGCCACGCATGCACAGATTGCATGACCACTCTGTCACCAGTGCACACTGATGATGTAAGATGCAAGACCCTTTGCTTAGCTCCTGAATTGCGTATGTGCGGTCATGCAGCTGCAGTGCTGCAGAATCCCAACATTCCAAACTTTTTGCTTATTATAAAAAAAGCGAATGAACAAGAATAGGGGTGTCTTTCTACCAGAAAAACTGCTTCCAGCTCACTTGGTGGGCGTCAGTTGACTCTTGTGGGGAATGGGGCTTCCGAGGTAGACAGGCCTCGGAATGGTGGGCTGCTGTCTGCAGCCTCAGAGCTGTTCATCTTTCTTGGCTTGGCACTCTGGCTGCTTTCGTGTCTGACAGGATGCTCTTGAGACAGAGAAAAGCTTAGAAGAAAGAATTATTATTATAGAGGGGTGCCCAGGGTAATAGAGGGGGTCCCAAGACCAGGAAAGTTTGAGTTTGGCACTTACCTTGAAGTAGATCTGACCTGTCCAGATGGATTTAAGCTGGTTTCTTGAGCTTGGGAAAATTTTTGAACATATTAAGAAGCAGCCATAAGCAAGTTAAAGTCTTGGGCTGGTGACTATTGTAGTGTTTGGCACTCTGCTGGTTAATGTGAGAGAGAGAGAGAGAGAGAGAGAGAGAGAGAGAGAGAGAGAGAGAGAGAGAGAGAGAGAGAGAGAGAGAGCGCTTTTTCTTAATTTTTACCCAAGATAAGCTTTATCAGAGACAGATTATTTTAAGGCACACCTGTTTCCTTTATTAGTTTAGCATTCAGGAGACACAGGTGATCAATTGCTGAGATCATTTAATAGTAATAGATGATTATATTAAAGTCTGTTTTTGCTAAGCACAGACCCTTTTGGTCTAGGGGTATAAATACCTTTTTACTGTTACTGTTCCTTTTCCTTACTGCATGGATATATATTGGTGGAAGTATTAAGGCAACTCCATGTAGTTAAAAGGGAGATTTATTTTGAGGAGGCAACTTACAAGTAAAGGGATAGGTTACAGGGTCTGGGAAAGGTATAGTGCAGACCAGTGTTCTTGGGAGAACTTTGCTTGATCTACCTCCAGCGTCCCGGGATCCAGGAATCAAGAGAGCCGGCACATCTGGGTCTTGGGTCTTAAGGGCTCCTCTCTCAGCCCCGCCTCACAGGCGTGACAGTTACCTGAAGCCTCAATGGGGGTAGTACTTCCAGGGCAAAGCTGGAACAGCTACCCACTACAGATATATCTGATGGTCCTTGGATGGATCTGATGGTAGTTACTTAGAAGAGAGAACCGGGAAGAGAAAAGCTTGTAGGGTAAGACCTCATTCTTCTGGAATTAGGGACAAGGCTGAGAGCAGGGCCCTGTCTGTGTCACTGTGGATGGGAAGCACTGCTGACTGGTCTGGAGTGAGGCACAAGGAGGGAGCAAATGAAATGAAAGCTCCTACCTTAGCTGGAAAATCTTTTCCCATTAAGTAACTGAAAGTACAATTAAGTCTGGTGAGGTGGGTAAGACTGTCTCCCTACCCTGACAATAGGGAAATAAGGAGAGGTAGGATCCCAAAACCCCCTCAGGATTGAGTAAGTGGCTCGGTGTCCAACAGGAAGGAAACGGATCGCCTCCATGATGCATTCTGGATTCCCTGGGAGCTGTGGCCTAGCCCAAGAGGTCTGCTGGAGGTCTTTGTTTAATGTTCTTATGCCTCTGGGTGCGTGGAGGCAGTCAGCTGACCAGTTATCTCTCTAGGTGGCACTTTGAACAAGGCTCAATTGATGGCCAGGCATCAATTATGCATTTGTGTTAATATGCACGTGTACAATTGCCTGTGGAGATTAGAGATGTCAGACCTCCCTGGAGCTAGAGATAGGGGTATTTGTGAGCCACCTGACATGGGTACTGGGAACTGAACTTGTGTGCTTTGAAACTGCAAAACATTCTCTTAACCCCTGAGCCATTTCTTCAGCTCCCCATAATAGCCCATTTTCATATTTAATATACCTAGACAACAGCACACAGGATAACAGATAGGATTTAGCAATACATGACTTTAAAGCAATCAAAACTGCAACAACAACAAAAACCTCTGGGAACAGAATAATTGGGTAGAATAGCTTCAAATCACTGCAATACTAGAAGAGACCAGCTTTTTTATTTTCCATTTTTAATAAAATCCACACACAACATTTGAAATCAGGTAAAGAAAATGATCAATTCCAGAGACTAAGAGGTAGATTACAGTTCATTTTAATCTTATTTTGGGCCCTTTTTCTTAAAAATGTAGTATCTTTGATCCCTTTGGGATGTTACTAAAATTTTATAAAAAATATCAGCAGTGTAGAGTTTAGTACAGCACACCCCTCTGTTCACTCAGATGCCTATGATTACAATTACATCCAGCACACACTGCTTCTGGGAGAAAAGCACCATTTTACAAATGCCTTAAGTCATGGTCTTCAGTTTTGGGGATGGGGTCTCCCTAGGTTCCTCAGGCTGCCTCAAACTCAGTCTCAGGCAATCTTCCTGCTTCAGGGTCCTCAGTAGCTATGACTATGTGTATAAAACACTATGGCTGGCTCTCAAGTCATTTTTTAAAGTGTTAGACAGGCTTGAATACTTTCCTTCTACCTGTTACACAAAATTTATCCATGGGATTTAGTTGACTGTAGGTCCCCCCCCATATTCATTATGTTTATTACATCTCTCAAGTATATACTCTCCGAAGAGCTTTGGTTTAAGGCTTTTACACAAGCAAATTTACTTTTTTTTTTTTTTAAGAGTCCTCATCCACATGAATTTTGTAATGATTGGTAAGGGATGATCTATGGTTGAAAAGTTTCCCACATGTGTTACATTCATAGGGTTTCTCTCCAGTATGAATTCGCTGATGTGCAATACGTGAAGAGCTTTGCCTAAAGGTTTTCCCACATGTGTTACATTTAAAGGGTTTCTCACCAGTATGAATCCTTCGGTGCTGAATAAGAGCTGAACTTTGACCAAATGACATTCCACATTCCTGGCATCGATATGGTTTCTCTCCAGTATGAATTCGTTGATGGTTACTGAGAGATGAGTTACACCTGAATGTTTTCCCACACTCATTACACTTATAAGGTCTTTCTCCAGTATGCATTCTCTGATGTTGGATCAGAGCTGAACTTTGTCTGAAGGCTTTCCCACAAACTTTACATTTACATGGTTTCTCTCCAGTGTGAATTCTCTCGTGAATAATAAGAGTTGAATGGGAACTTAAGGCTTTGCCACATTCATTACAATTATAAAACTTCTCCCCAGTGTGAATTATTCGGTGTCTATTGAGTCTTGAAATAGAAGTGAAGCCTTTTCCACATTCATTACATCTGTAGGGCCTTTCTCCAGTGTGAATTCTTTCATGTTGAATAAGTGATGCACTCTGACTGAAGGCTCTGCCACATTCACTGCATTTGAAAGGTTTCTCTCCAGTGTGGATTCTCTGATGGTAACGAAGGGATGAACTAGACTTAAAGGTGTTGCCACATTCGTTACACAAGTAGGTCTTTTTTCTGGAATGAATTCGTTGACCAGGAAGAGATGTGCTGCAACTAGATGACTTCCTACCTGGGTTATATTTATAAGGGTTTTCTCTAGCATGGACTTTCTGATGTATAAAAAGACCTGACCTTCGGCCAAAGGATTTACCACATTCCTTACATCTGTAGGATTTTTCTACAGTGTGGGTTCTTAGATGTTTATAAAGGGATGTACTGAGAGTAAAGGCTTTGCCACATTCTTTACATACATAAGGCTTCTCTCCAGTATGAGTTATTTGATGTTGAATAAGGGCTGAACTTTGGCTAAAGGCTTTTGAACATTCTTTACATTTAAATAATTTCTCTCCACTATGGTTTTTCTCATGTTTACGAAGAGATGAGGTGTTGATGAAAGTTTTCTCACACATACTACATTTATAGCGTTTATCTGGTGTGATTTTTGGTTGATTAGATAAATACAATATCTGCTTGAAAGTGTTCTGTTTTTCACATTCTGATGATCTTTTTTCTCTATGTGACTTTGAGCTAAATTCATTGTTTTTATGGTTTCTTTCTATAGTTAAAATATTCTTATCCCACTTTTCCTCTAATTTGCCTTCATATATGAAAAGGTTTTCTGATTTCAAGTTCAAAGGTTCATTTCTTTTAGATTTTTTCATCATCAGTTCCTGAAATGAAGAGTCTTGTGTTTGAGTTGACTTAGTGGTTCTATGACTGCGCGTCAATCCTAGAAAGGGAAAAAGAAAGCAAAGATATTTCTTGTGATATAAAAATTGACTACTGAGACGATATGTAGAGTGAATAAATAAATACTAATGTTACTTAAGTAGTCTTGGTATGTGGTTAAAAATATTGAGGGTGGAATAGAAGAGTTAGTAGAGAAACATAATTGATAGGAACAGTAGCAGTAGAAAGAAGAAAAAATAAAGCAAACCCATTTCAAGAGGGTGATTAAATGGGACAAAGAGTTGGGAAATGCATTATCTAGAATCCAGAGATCCAACAGTACATTGTTATCTGCTAACTTTGCCCTTGTTTGTTTCCTGCAAACAGTATCTTTCAGATTCAATTCAAAAGTTTATTGTGGAAAATCCTTGCTTGACTTTGAATATCCACGATCCATTCCTTCAGCCAGATTCCTAAGACAGAATCTCAATCTGTAGCCCAGGTGTCCTTAAATCCATGACCTCTTGCTTTAGCCTCCTGAGTGCTGGGATTATAGGTGACCACTTCTGTACCTCTCTACATATAATGACGAGATCAGCATGTTCTACCTCTCATAAATCCTCTTGATGGTATCACATATATGTATCTTTCTGTTTTGTTTTGATATGGAGTCTTACTATACTAGACTAGGCTGGCTTTGAACCTGTAGCAATCTTCCTGCCTCTGCTTTCCAAATCTGAGATTATAGGCATATGCTACCACATCTGGCTTGTTTAGTAAATCTTTCTTACCTATACCTTCCTAATTTGAAGAAAATCAAATAGTCTTGATTATTTAAACATGAATTTCATATATATTAGTCACAAGCCCTCACAGAACCTGCCTTCCCAAACCAAACAGAGATGATTAAGATTTCTGAACCAGTTCACACAGAAGACATTATTAAATTAATTCTACAGAAGTGCCACAAGGTAGGCATAAGGTCAAGAACTGTAAATTGGAAAGGTAGCCTCATCCATGCATCAAGCAACAGAGGTGTTATGGTTTGAGTCTGAAATGTCAACTAAAGGCTCATGTATTAAAAGCCTCACTACTAGTTGACTGGTTTAGGGTAGAAACTGGATCATCATGGAGTCCTCAATCAATGGAATTATAGAAAGGTGGTGGAAGTCAGGAGGTGGGGTCTTGTTGGAAGAATAGATCACTGGAGTAATAGCTTGTATATCTTGTCCCTCTCTCCCCAACTTCTGGACTGTCATGTTCATGCATCACCCACATGACATCCTGCCTCACCACAGGCCCAGAAGCAAGGTAGCAAAGTAGCCATGGATTAAAGTCTCTAAAGCCATGAGACAAAAAAATTCTTCCCCCCATTTAAATGATTTCTCTCTCTCCAGTATCTGTCACAGCAAGGAAGAGTCTAACACACTGCCTCAGGCCTTCTTGTAAAGAAAGGCTACAGTTCTGACACCTTGCCTTTACTAGAGTTCTGAGTATAGCAGTCAGGCACTGTATGTATATCTTCCCCATAGATAAAGTGGGAAGGTTTGAATAAGAATGCCCCACCCCCTATTGGCTCATAGATTTGAATGTTTAGTCAACAGAGATTGGAACTGTTTGAGAGGATTAGGAGGGATCCCTGTTGGGGGAAATACGTCATTATGGGTGGGCTTTGAGGTTTCCAAAGCCCATGCTAGGCCCAGTCTGTGCTGTGTGTGTGTGTGTGTGTGTGTGTGTGTGTGTGTGTGTGTGTGTGTCTGTCTGTCTGTATCTCTGTCCCCCTTCCTGCTGCCTATGGGCCAGGTTAGAGAACTCTCAGCTATTGTTCCAGTACCATGTCTAACTGCATGCTGCCATACTCCTCACCATGACAATAATGGCCTAAACCTCTGAAATTGTAAACTGGCCCCAATTAAATGTTTTCCTTTCTAAGAGTTGCTGTGGTCATGGTGTCTCTTCACAGCAATGGAATAGTGACTAAGACAGGCAGAGAAATGGTATTTTGTTTCCTATGCATTACTGTCTCTACTGTTGTCTCTTAACTACTTTCCTATCTTTGAGTCTTGCCCTCTGACAACTCAGTCACCACAGATAATCCTTCCTAAATCCATATCTTCCTGTGCTACAGGCTCCTAAAGATCTGTAAGAAAGCCAATGATTCATAGATGAGGTCCAGGTTCCTCCTCACAGTGAAGGGAACTTTTGTCTACATCTGCCATCACCTCCCTCCCCTAGCTACTTGTCAAGTATGCTGAACTAGATGCAATTTCTGGAGCAGTCCAGTTTAATTCTACTGGTTTATTTTTACATGTGTAGAGAACTACCCTTCCATTCACACTCACTCACTAGGTAATTCTATGGCTAGATAACAGTCTGAAGGAATGTAGAATGTGCTGAGTAAGACAAGGTTCCAGCCTTACAGAAACTTATACTTTCATATGTGTGCATGTGTGTGTGCTGAGTAGGAGAGAGGATGTAGGGACAAACAAGTAAACAGAAGACATGTGGCTAGCTGAAGAGAGTCCTAGGCAAAGCAATCAGGAAACAGAGAAGTCCAGAGGACTTGAAAAGAACAAAGACCTGGTGCCTGGAATGCACTGAACAAAAGGGAGAATGGTAAAAGAGCAAAGGATGGGGTGGAGGCGAATCATACAACACTTCCTCAGTACTGGTGAAGACTAGGGAATTTTATACTAAGTGTGATAGGATGCTTGGGGAAAGCTTCCTCAGTACTGGTGAAGACTAGGGAATTTTATACTAAGTGTGATAGGATGCTTGGGGAAACAGGTGCTCATCTGAGTTGGCAGAGAACAGTGAGCAGGGGCAGGAGTGAGAACACAGAGATGAAGGTGTGTAGGTCATAAAGAGGGTAAGATCCAGATGAAGTTGCTAACAGGACTGAGATGAATGGACTAACAGAGTACTAAGAAGGAAAGAGGACAATTAAGATCATGCCTAGGTTCCCAGCGTGAAAATGAATTATGACACCAATTACCAAGAGGGAGGAGAGAATGGCAAGTCCTAGGGGGTCTGTTTCAGGTATGTCTGTGATAGCTAAGGGGCTTCAGAAGAAAACACAAGGAAGCACTGAAATAGCTGTGTTATTTTAGAGATCTGGGGAAAGGTCAGAGCTGAAGATAGGCATGTGGGAGTCATCAGCATAGATTCTATTTAAAGCCAAAGACTGAAAGAAATCACCAGATTTCTTGAACATGTAAGAAGAAAACTGGGAGAGGATGGTGTTCCAGGAGCCAGAGAGGAGCAAGTCATCAGTTGTGGCAAGTACCCTGAAGACTGGGTTTGGTGTATGTATGGCTTGGTTGGTGTGCCAGAGAGGAGCAAGTTATTTCAACAACACCATTGACATAAGCTAAAGTCATTTGAGAGAATAGAATCTCAATCAAGAAAATGCTTACATAAGATGGGTATAACACAAATCTTAAAAGGTCTTATTAATAAAAAACCCAGAGCCAAATATTGGAGTGAAAGCTGAAAGATCAGAGAAGCAGAACAAGCCAGCCACAAGCTCTTACCTCTAGGAAATCCTCAGTCTCAAGACAGTGAGTTCCTGTTTCCTTGTGCCTTATATCCCTTTTTCTGCCCTGCCATCTTACTTCCTTGGATTAAAGGTGTGTGTGCTTCTCAAGTAAAGGCATGAGATCTCAAGTGTTAGGAAGAAAGGTGTGTGCCACCATGCCTGGCTCTGTTCTCAGTATGGCCTCAAACTCACAGAGTCCCACGTGATAGGATTAAGGATGTGTGCCATCACTGTCTGGCCTCTATGTCTAATCTAGTGGCTGGCTCTGTCCTCTGATCCCCAGATAAGTTTTATTTGGGTGCATAATATATCACCACAAATGGGGCTATAGGAAAAGCCTATAGGGTATTTTCTTAATTAGTGATTGATATAAGAGGGCCCATCCCATTCTGATTGGTGCCATCCCTGTTGGTGGTCCTAGGTTCTATAAGAAAGCAGGCTGAGCAAGCCATGATGAGCAAGCCAGTAAGCAGTACTCTTCTGTGGCCTCTCCATCAGCTCCCACCTCCAGGTTCCTACCCTGCTTGAGTTCCTGTCCTGACTTCCTTTGATGATGAACTGTGATGTGGAAGTGTAAGCCTCCCCCAATTTCTTTGGCCACAGTGTTTCATCACAGCAACAGTAACCTTAACTAAGACAGTTGGAAAGGCTTGTTATACAAGCATGAAGACCTTAGTCAATCTCCCAGAAAGCAATAAAAAAAAAGCAGAGTGTGGTGGACTTGTAATTCCAGTGCTGGAGAGTTGAAACAAGAGGATCCCTGGAGCTTGCTAGCCAGCCACTCTAGCCAAATTGTCAAGCTCCAAGTTCAGTGAGAAACCCTGTCTCAAAAGATAGGGAATGAATGAAGGAAATATCTGATGCTCACTTGTGGCATCCATGTACAGATACACATAATGAACATGAACACGCACACACACTCCAAAAGACTAAAACTCCCGACTGCAGCACATGGAGGGAGCATGGGATATAAAAACAGTTCTTTTAGTAGCGCAGTAAACAAGAGAGACCAGCTGGAGGACTCAGGGAATCAGGAAAAGTGACAATACAAGCAGAAATGGAAAGCATGTGTAAAGCCTGGCTCTGAGAATGACAACAGGGGATTGAAAATTTTGTTTATAATGGAAGTCATCATAGCTACAAGGGCCTACATCAATTCTACTGTACCCATTTCAACTCCTAAGTGCCAAGGTCTTAATTCTCAATTCACTTTCTACTGAGGTCAGTCTTAGATTGTAGACATGCTAAATGTTCCTTACCATCTACTCAGAACTGTGGCCATCACTACAAACTGAGAAAACACAAGGATGGTCTCTATCCTGTCTCAGAGGAAGTAGGGCCATTCGAAACCAGGCCTTTTAACCTCCAGGATTGAGAAACTGAATTCTAATTGCTTTAAGCCACTCAGTTTTATTTAGTTGTGGTGTCTCTAGCATATCACTATGAACCCTTATGTCTCTTCCACTAAACTAAATAAGGCTAAAGCAATTCTCAGCCATCAATCATTTCATCCATAAATGTGTCAAAATGACTCATATGATGCCCCCCCCCCCAAATTAACTCTATTGTTTGCAGGTAGTCTCATTCTTCACATAAACCACAAATAAACCAAACTGCTCTGATGTAAAGACAATTGCAGAAATTCTCTATGTTCCAAATAAATGAAATAAATGAAACAAGCTGCCTCCACATACAGACGTCAAGGAAGAGACAGATCACAAGCACATGCACTCGGTATGTGGAAGGAAAATAAGGATGCTGAGATGAAAAATATGGAGGACAGAGCCCTGTTTTAAATGAGTGGAGCCTGTTCCACAAACTGACAACTAGGCAGAAACTCGTCAAAGACAAGAGCACTTAGCCATGGAGAAAAAGAAAAGGCACAGAAAGAAAAGGTCAGGGACAAAAGCCTTGAGGCAGAACAGAAGGAGATAACAGTGAAGACCACATTGAGGACTCTGGCTTGTGCGCCATGGGATGGAAGTTACTAGTTTTGAGCATGGGAGCAATAGGAGATGATCTAAGCCTGTTGCTAACCTCCATGGTAACCCCCGTGTCAAATCAGGAAAAGCTCCCCTTCCAGAGACTTCACTGTAGGACAGCAGCTGACTACCCTCAGCTGAGCACACTCTGGACCACTGCTGACAGTAAAGACGACAAAGAAATGACAAGGCAGTGAAGTGACCTCACGGGAGACGGGATGACTAGACCATTTCTGGAATTGAAAAACATCAAAATTCCACAATTCCAGAACATTTCTGCATTTGGATGTGAGCCAAACCTTCGAGATACACAGGTGCAATGTGCCCATGATTCTTAGTGTAGTTATCAGAGAAAGCACCACCTCATTGCTTAGGCTTGGGCCAGTTCTTAAGCAAGAGACCCAAGTAAGACACAGACACCCTGAACCATGGTCTCTCACTTCTCAGTTTAAAACTTACAAACCCAGGAACAACAAAAGCTATTAGACTTGTGCATTTTGTTGTTGCTTTAAAAAAAATTTCATTATTCATTTTTCCATTTACACATGTGCTTTGCCTGCATGTGTACCACATGCATTCCTGGGGCACACAGAGGTCAGAAGAGGGCATCAGAAGCCCTGGAACTGAAGTTATGAATGGTTATGAACCACCATGTGAGTGCTGGAAACTGAAGATTCTCTGCAAGGGCAGCCAGTGCTCTAAAGAACTGAGCCCTGTTTTGTTTTCTTATCTGTGATTAGTTTTGAAGGGAAACATAACTTGCAGGTTCAGAATTGGGTTCTGTCTGACATCATGACCTCAGGTACAGATTTGCAGGTCCCTCAACTGTGCTTGGAGTATGTGAGTTCCTGCTGAGGAGGAGTCCAGGTGCATGGTGGCTTGCCATGCATGGAGACATGAGCATCCCTAGGCCTCCCACCTGAAGTCCACTCTTGAGAGAAAAGGATGGCCATTCCTCAAGAGGAGCAGAGCAGCACACTTATAATCCCAGTGCTCAGGGGATTAAAGTAGGAGAAATCTGGAGTTCAGTGTCAGCCTGGGCTACACAGTCAAACCCTCACACAGAACAGAGCAGAAAGCAGCTCCAACGTCCACTCATCACTTCACTCCTCAGTCATCCACTCAGTTTTTCCTCAGAGCCGAGGAAGGCAGGTGACCCCTTCATCAGGTATCTCAGCTTCTCCCAAGACAGCACTGAACAGCAGGCCTATTCTGCTCAGGCTAATTCCCCTCCCTTACTTTGGGGTAACCTCTGGCAGTTTCTACACGAATGAGGATTTAAAGACAACTGTGGCTGCCATCTCAGAAGTGGTCACTCTGGACTAGGAAGAGATGCTCTCATATAATACAAGGGCTGTGAGAGGACAGGGTGGCCTGTCATGTGGCTCTTCTCTAGGCCCAGGACCACTGACTGACTTAAGGGCTCAGATCTGCCCCAATTCTTCTCCCCTCCTAGGCAAGCAGAAGCCCATGGTACGAGTCTTGGTTCACCAATGAGGGTGTTTCCCCAAGTCTCTATCACCACAGCAACCACCTCTCCTGCCCCTCTTCAGGTCACTTCAGGGCAAGCCGACAAGGTCTTTTCTCTTAACCACCTTGCAAAAACAGTTTCCCAGGATCCTATTCCCACCTGGTCAGCTCAAGGTTTCAAGGGTTCTGACTTCGCTTGTGAATTCCAACCTTACAGAATTCCCCACCAGAGATCTATATGCAAATACTTCACTTATATCTAAAATGAAAACTACCCCCACCCCAAACTCATCAAACCGGGTCTCTGTAGACTCCTGAAGCAGGGGCCTTCATCTCCACCCCACTAGCTTTCTACCTTCAGTCTTGCAGTAGCTCCCTTAGGCTCCCTGACTGTGCCTCACTTTCAGTCCGCCCTCCACAGTGCATGTCACAGGAGGACTTCCTGAATATAAAACATTATATACAAATAAAGACCCTTTTCCCAGATTCATTCTAAAAGGACACAATGCCTCCTAACCCTTCTCTTTGTGCTCATGTGTGCAGAGCTCCTACTCACGTGCGCACACACTAAATTTTTAAGAGCACAATTTTCTTTCAACCTGGTGGTAACATATCTCAACAGTGCCCTGAGACTTGCCTCACTACTTGACACTCTGGAGCTGCCTCTATCACCGGTGTTGATGGATGCCAGAACAAGGACAAACCAGGTATTTTTTTAGCTGTTTTACTAAAGACTTCTGAATTGTTTCTGACTAGAACCAGCTTTCCCAACACTATCAAAGAGTACGAAACTGCCATTTACATTTCAAGTACTTCCAGTTGTTCATATGCAGAATACGGCTCCCAGAACTGCACCAAGGCACTTGTTTCGGGACCCTTGCGTAGCCTTCCTGTCTCATTCCATTCATTTCCTTTTCCTTTACACACTTGGAACTTCAGCCTGAGTTCTTTATCATCCCTTAAATATAACATACCTCTTAAATGATCTCTGAAGACACAACCCTCCTCAGAAACAACCAACACGAAAAAAGAGCCCAGGAAATTCATTCAGGACATGATCAGGAGAGAATACATGGAGCTGGGCCAGACTTCAGCTCCAGTTCCCTTCCCTCATTCCTATTTAATTCATTGTTAATTCACTGGGTTGTTTTTTCATTTTGTTTTGTTTTGGGTTGAGTTTTTTATGGACTTTACGTGTGCCAGGCGGGTGTTCTTACCATTGAGCTCAGCTCCATCCCAGCCGCCATCACTTCCTGTGGACTGAGAACCTGAAGACGTTTCCCATCCCACACTCCAAGCTGCACCCTCTCCTTATTCACCACACTGGTGCCTGAAGAAACTGCCAGGCCTGGTGCACTCACTCACCCAGAGAGGAGCCTCCAGGACCTTCTTTCTCCACCTTCCAGGGATCCTCTCCTTGCTGCAGCAGGGAGATCACCTTTGGTTTGGTAAACGGGAATCCTGCTTGGAGATAAAATGAACTCATTAACTAAAAGCCAGGCAACCATATAAGACTGAGAAAATCTCTTACGTTGCAGAAATCAAGTGAGCCTAAAAATGTTTACCCCGTATGGCCCTTTGCAGAAAAAGTATGCAAACTTCTAGCAAAGGCAATGGGAAAGTGGTTCCACAAACGGAACCAACAAGCACAGAATGACTGCTGGTGGGGGGAGGATGCCTGCACCATGAAGAACCACAGGAAGCAATGTCTCTGCCACCTCCTCTAGTGAGCCTGGGCAGTTCCAAGCCTGCTGTGGGAAGAACATGCTAATACTTATTTAGAAGGACCCATCTGTACGACCATAAAGCAAAACTCTGCTAAGGTTTCCCAATGGCCGCAGCTTTCATTCAGGGAAGGAGGTACTAAGGTCTCATTTCTGAATCTACGCCCACAGGGAACTCCCTTACCCAGTGAGGCCAGATTGCTGTAGTTCTCCAGCATCACCTCACGGTACAGGCTTCTCTGAGAGTGATCCAGCTTCTTCCACTCATCCCGAGTAAAGAGCACAGCCACATCCTCAAACGTCACCGACACCTGTGAGGAAAAGCCAACTTGAGGAGCTCTGAGTTCAAGTAAGAGACCCTGACTCAAAAGATCTGGCCATGGGGGAAGTCACCCGATACAGTCACTTGGACTTTTACATGCACGTGTACATGTGTACATGTACTTCCTCACACACAGATATGCCCAACCAAGTACATGAGAGTATGCATATATGCATGCATGCACACCATATCACACATACATGCATAGGACAAAAAAAATTTAAAGTGTACAAGCAAAACGTATAATCTATAAAGTAAAGTGGAAAAAACAAAGAACCACCATGGGCTGGAGAAGGCTTGGGGAGCAACACAAAGACCGGCAGGAAAAGGAAATAGATAATCAATCTTGGCAAAGACAAAGAAAGAAACACAGACGAGTGAGGGAGGCAGGGCCAGAAAGGAATTTTCTCAAGTATGTATGTCTGCTCTGTCCCAGGCATGTTACTTGTGGAATTTGTAGGCATACACCAGACTGGGATCAGGCAACAGTGGCGTGTCTATCAAGAAATACAGAAGACTAGAATTGTGAACACGGGGTGCGCTCCCTACGGAATCCACTAGCCATGAAGGGAACATCAACTCCTCCAAGTAGGACATGGGCTCCAAATCCTAGTGAAGGCTCAACTACGTGGAAGGAAAACTTCCGTCAGGGAAGAAAAATCAAGCCAACCCCTCCCCTTCCACTGAGAAGGGAAATGGCAATGCGCTTACCTGAGACCTCGATTCCCTTTGCTCAGGAGCCATGTTCTCTCTGCGGGTGAGAGATGATGAAGATGAAGGCGAATCTGAGGGAAGACAAGGAAGAAAAGGGTAGGTAGCACCTGATGCTTCGCACCCCTCAGAAGCGCCATCTCCGAAAGCGTCCCATCAACATCAGCTGAGCCTGGCTCTCCTGCCTCCAGAGAGAGAAGCAGGAGCTGGGGGTGGGCATCAGAGAATAGACAGGTCACTACTTCTCTTGTCCGTGGATTTTCAGAAGCAAGACTCGGGCGACACCGGACTCCCATGTGCCAGGCATCACCCTACACGGTTCACGACAGCTCAGCTGGCACTGCCCGGACCCTTCAGATCAGGAAACTGAGGCCGGAGTGTAGCCACAGCAGGGACGCACCCGCTAAGATCTGACACCGGCTCGCGACAGTGTTCCTCCTCCCCACGCGTTGCCCACACAACTGTTCTTCTGCTGTCAAGGGGTCGAGTTCCAGATCCCCAGAGAAAACTCCGGAAAGGGGACCCAGGACAGGAGGGCGGCACGCGAAACATAGCCTGGGTTGGCCCCGCCCGGGCCGTGGGGAGCAGGTCACCTGCAGTCCAGGGCCGGGACCGCTGGGACCGCGCGTTCCCCCGCGTGCCCAAGGTCGGCTCCCGGGAGGGGGACGCGCCGTAGACGCTGGGGGGCGGGGGGCCGTACCAGGCTGAACCCAGCCCGGCCCGCCTGGCGTACGAACAGGACTGGCCTTCGCTCACCTTCCCCCCACCCCCGAGGCTCCCGCCACGCCTCACCGAGGCTCAGAGCCGCCGCGCGGGCGGACTCCGCCTGGGGCACCTCGGCCCCCCACCTCGAACCGCGCCACAGACGCCCCAGGGCTCCGCGAAGGCTCACGGGAGGTCAGAGCTCCGGGTCCGAGGGCGGTGGCCGCGGAGGCCTCTGGGAAATGTAGTCCACTCCAAGACCCAAGGATTCTGGGGTTTGAAGTTCCTCAGTTTGGGGGGGGCTGCTCAGTTCCTACGGTGCGCAGTTCTAGTGGAAGCCAGTAGTGCACAGGAAGATGGCACTAAGTACCCTTTAGGAGAGCTTTTTTATAAGTTACTAGTGGGGCTGGAGAGGTGCTCAGCGGTTTAAGAGTCCTTGCTGCTCTTGCTGAGGACCTGGGTTCAATTCCCACTATATGTATCAGGTTGCACACAATATGTAACTCCAGTGCCTGGGATACAACGCCCCTTTCTGGCCATTCCAGGAAGTGCATGCATTTCCATGTTTATACATACAAATAATGTCTTTACAATTCTTTTCCCTCAAATAAACAAAAAAAGGGAAGAAAAGGTTGTTGCAGAATATTTGTTTACACTTTAAAGATGTGTCTCTGCCTAAGGCACCTTCTGATTGGTTTAATAAAAAAGCTAAATGGCCAATAGCTAACTAGCAGGAGAGATAGGTGGGACTTGGGCAGAGAGAGGAAAATTGAAATGAATCTAAGCACTTGAGAGCCATCAGCCAGATTCGGAAAGAGTTAGACATACAGGATGGGATAGAGAAAAAGTCATGTAGTAGAATGTAGATTAATAAAAATATGGGTTAATTAAGTTATAAGAGTTAGTTGAAAATAAGGCCAAACTTTCATAATTAATAATAAGTCTCTATGTCATTATTTGGGAACTGGTTGGTGAAATAGAAAAAGACTTGTTACAAGAGTTATTAGAATTAGGCCACAAGTAGCCATGATGGAGCCCTGATGGGCAAAGCAGACCCTTCAATTCCCAAGGACAGGAATTACTTAGTCTTATAGGTTTGGGAAAGGAGGTGTTCCACACCACATGACCTAACTTGTGTGCCAGGGATCACAGGACAAGGCAGGAAGGCACTAGATGCAAGCTAAGTCATAATTCAAGATTGTCTTGGTGTATCTGTGGGAGCTGGTCTAGCAATTGAGAGAAGAAAAGGAGTAACTCAACCCTGTGAGCCTTGTAATGTCACCCAGGTTACATATCAACTCTTAGTCCAGAGAGGGAGAGTGGGTTTGAGTTTTCAAAGAGAAAGACAGCTGTAGGGTCTGTGTTCTAACACTTCTATGTGCCAGGCCCTATTACAAGCTATTCGAACAGCATCAGTGAATAAAACAAATACCATTATCCTGAAGTACATTTTCTTTGTAGAAGACAAGAATCAGACAATAAGACATGAACATGATTAGATGGGGATTTAGGGGATACCTGTAATGAGAAAACAACCACAACAGAAGAAGAGTTAGGTGAAGGGCAGCTGGACACATGAACATGAAGAACAGATTTGTGGCAACGTCTCAAGAGAGGAGAAAACACGTTAGTCATGTTTTTGTGGACGTGACACACACTTGAGAGAAATAACTTAAGGTTCTAAATAAAGGGCTATTTGGGGGTCTTGGTTTGCAAGCTTAAAGTCTTCACCTGGCTGACTCCATTGCATTGTAGGTTCATTGCCAGGCAAAGCATCGCCGAAGAAGGGCGTGGAAGAGGAAAGCTGTGCATCTGATGGTACAGGAAGCAAAGAGGAGCTAACGGGAAGAGATGGGGCCAAAATAGACCCTTCAAAGACACCCCTAGAAGCCCACCTCCTCCAGCCAGGCCCCACCTTCTATAGTAACACCCCAAAATTGGTTGAAATATTGAATCTATCAAGGGATTAAGTCATTATCTATGTACCAGCCCTTATGATCAAATCCTCTGTGGTTAAGGCTTAGAAATGCATCCAGATATGTGCTTTACCAAGATCTTAGGTGTCCCTCAATCCAATGAAATTGACAACCAATAGTAATCATCACAGGGCCCTTACAGGCGGAGCCAACAGGCAATTGTTTAAGTTAGAAATTTTTATTCATGGGGGCCAGCAAGATGACCTGGCGGGTAACCACTCACTGCCACGCCTAATGACCTAAGTTCGGTTCTAGGAGGTCACATAGTGGCAGGACAGACTGACTCTCACAAGTTGTCCTCTGATTTCCACACACGCACTGTGGCAATACACATCCATATACACACAATAAATAAATGTAAAAACATTTTATGTTAATTAATTGGAGGTGGTACTGGAGAGTGAACCTGAGCTCCTAACAGGCTAGAAAAGCACTCTACCACTGAGCCCCATGCCCAGACCGTTGGGAGATCCTGCTGCCTAAGGTTGCAGTCCACCGTGTCCGGGCAGCTCTCTGAGCTCAGCACAAATGGAGGACTCCCTTCTCCCAGCAGCGGCTTCCTCCTCTCTGCCTGACCTTGTTTGGCGGCTGTCCCTGAGCTTGGGTGCCTGACTTATCTTCAGTGTGACCTTTGACACAGTTCCCTGCAAATGCTCTCCCCCTGCCACCCACATGATAATTAGATATTCTGTATGATGGGACTGTGCTGCCAAATGAAAACGATGCACATTCTGAGCACCTATTAGGTGATGTCCCAGCTACTGTCCCCATCCTGTTGTTCATTGTCAAATCCTGGGAGAGGTAGCTGTATCACTTGTTGTCCAATCTCTGCATAATGGGAAAGTGCAGGGCTTGTCTCAGGTCCTGGCTAGAGTAGTCTGTGAGTCTGGATCGTCTCAGCTAGCCATCTTGAAATTGTCCTGAGCAGTTTGTAGTCCAAAGCTGATCTTTGGGTGATGTTTGTCAGTTTAACGGCTTTATCATAGTCCATGTGAAGTCATCATTGTGGGATCCCATCATCTTTTTGGAGACTTCAGAGATCGCATTAGGTCAGATTATTCCTTTCCTTGGTAATTTTTTCTGGGTAGTTCTCTCTTCTTCTTTGGAAGCTTCTTTGTCCAAAGGTCTTTCAATTCCTCAGGATGGTTGTTACTATTTTCCTGAAAAGACATAAACAAAACCCTTCCCCAACCCTAACTTTGGGGAGTTTCCAATTCTAATCTTTATCAGTTTTGATTTATGGTTTCTTCTTGAATTTTTTGCTTTATTTTCTAAAGCTGTTCTATCATCCAGAGCAGTGTGGTTTTTTTTTTTACAATAGGCATTTGTAATTATTTAACTATTTAATTGCTCTGGGAAGGAGTTTCCTCTATAATGGCAGGAAAGAACTGAACCAAATTTGTCATGGCCTAAGAGAGGCCCCTCAGGGCATTTCCCGATGGTAAAGGCAAGGGATTACCTTGTCTGTCCCTTGTTGACCTACATTCATTAGTCCAATGTCTGCCTTTGCCACATCTTCTGCATAATCCAGAAGGGAGGGGCATTCTGTTGGGATTATTCCTTGAAAAAATGTTGTTTCTAGGAACTCCCTGCTGTTTACAGTCCCTTTTTAGGTGACCTTGTTTACCACAATTTAAACATTTGACACTACTATTTTTCTTCAAACCTCTGGAAATCACCTCTCTTATCCAAGCATCATCATGGTCATGAGATTCAGTATTCGTTGTATATTAAATCCATTCCTCCAAAGGTGCTGATCGTGCCTTTAATGGCCTAATTACCATTTTGCATTGTGCATTAGCATTTTCAAAAGCCAGAGATTCAATTATTATTTGTTTAGCTTTTGAATTTGGTATCATTCTATTTACTGTTGAAGTTAATCTTTGTAAGAAATCAGTGAAGATTTCTTTTGGGCCCTGTATAACTTTTGTAAATGTCTCAATTTTCTTTCCTACTTCTTCAATACTGTCCCAAGCATTCAAGGCTGCTGTGTGGCATAAAGCCAGGGTGTGATCATTATATAAAGATTATCTTTGTATATTAGCATAATTGCTCTCTCCAAGAAGTTGATCTTGCAAAATTTCCATACCTCTAGCCCTACTTTGAGTTCAATGGTCTTAGCCTCATCCTTCCATCAGGTCCTCCATTGTAATTGGGGACCAGCCTCTAAGACTTCTGTAACCAAATCTCTCCAGTCTTGAGGGATAATTCTATTACAAGTTGACCATGAGTTTAACATATGCTTCACAAAAGGTGAATGCATACCATATGAGACTATCACTTCTTTGAATCTCCTCAAATCTAACATTTTCACAGGAGTCCATTCAGCTTTTACACAGTCTTAGGGATATCTATCATTTGGCAGTTCCTGTAAGGTTACTGGATAAATTAAGGTTGGCTGTTTGAAAGCCTTAAGCTGTTACTCTGTAACCTTACAATACAATGTTGAAATTGGTATCCACTTCTGGTCATGGATCTGGGTATTCACTTCTGGTCATGGATCTGGGTGTTCACTTCTGGCCATGGATCTGGGTTCCCACTTCTAGTCAGTGAAATAACAGGACTAAGTTCATCTTCCCGTTGAACACTGGATAAGATTAGAAAGGAGATGATTTCAGACAAATGAAACAAACAGGGTGATTCCTTCAGGTACCCCAGCTTCTTGCCTTGATGGGTCTCAGCTCTGGCACAGAATAGGCCCATTGGAGGGACCCATAAACTTCATGAGTGGAGGAGGAGACAGAGCTGAGAGGCTAGGGACACCAGGGCACCTGAAGGATGCAGGAGAAAGTGGTGGTGAGAACAGAATTACACTGAAATAGACCCCTGGGTCTGCAGAGGATGCCATCCATGCACTTAGTGGACTGTTGACTGGTACTTGTCATATGCTGCATGAGGCTCAGAATTACTGAAATAGGCCCCTGGGTCTGCAGAGGATGCCATCCATGTACTTAGTGGACTGTTGACTGCTACATGTCACACGCCACTGCATGAGGCTCAGATCTGGTGTTGACAGAGGGTCAGGAATGATGCCTATACCCAACATCCAGACTAGAAGATGTCACAGTTCATGGGGAACCGGATTGGCATGCAATAGGGGCTTCCCTGAGGAGGAAATGGCCAGCTTCAGCCTGAAAACTATTCAGACTCACTAGCACACCTTAAAACCAGGACTGGGGAGGACCAAGCTATTTCAAAACAAATTGACTACATCCCAGAAAAAAAGGTTCCTTGTTTGAAGCTATATAAAAAGACCCCAGAACCCAAAAAAGTAAAGTCAGCATTGCTCAGTGTCCCATAATACACTCCAGCCAGGTATGAGAGGAGACGAGCAAACCAACATGGAATTGTAAACCAGTAAGAAAGTGGACACT